GCACCCACCAAGCCAAGCCGCACCCACCAAGCCACACCCACAACTGGTAGTAAAAAAAAATTGGAATCCCACCACTGTGCGGAAAGGCTCTTTCGCAATAGCAATAGCAATAGCAATAGCAGTTAGACTTATATACCGCTTCATAGGGCTTTCAGCCCTCTCTAAGCGGTTTACAGAGTCAGCATATTGCCCCCAACAATCTGGGTTCTCATTTTACCCACCTCGGAAGGATGGAAGGCTGAGTCAACCCTGAGCCGGTGAGATTTGAACAGCCGAGCTGCCGAACTGCAGTCAGCTGAAGTATCCCGCAGTGCTGCATTTAACCACTGCGCCACCTCGGCTCTGAAAACCACTGAGAAAAATGATCAAACAAGAGTAAGATACAGAGCGGGGGAATAAACTTACAAGCTCTATGTGAGTCAGCTGCTGGGCTAACATGTAAGGGTCGCTGCAGACCGTGATGATATCCCGTTGGATGGCCTGAGGTTTGGTCTTTAATACTGTCAGTCTGTCGGTTGAAGTAGCATTGATTTTTGCAAGAACTTCCTCATATTGGTTAAGGGAGGCCAGCTTACGAATGAGGCTCTGGATGATTTGCTGCACATTTTTCCGATAGGCCTGGAAAGAGACGGAAAGAGAAACAATGAAAAGAGATCATCGTTGTTGTTTTTTTGAATACCTTAATTGCTTTCTGTTGCCGGAGCTTACACATAACAGTAGGCCAGAAGATGTATTCCACTCATGACGCGTTTGACCATCTGAAGTTCTTGTCTGCGGGGTGGAAGGCTGTTTTTACCTCCCCAGATGCTGTCTCCATGGTAGAGGGGCTGCATGTCAGCTCCAGTGAGCTCTGAGGCCCGGAGCTGCCATTTGGGGGGGGGGAGATGGGGGGATTGGGCCAACTGCCAAGACTCGTGCTTACTAAGTGGAGATCTCCCTCCTCCACAAACAGTCCAGCTGAGAACGCTACATAACTCTTCATGACTGGCTGACGGGAGGTTTCCACTGAGAACATTCCAGAACTGATAACTGACTGAGAACAATCCATGATTGATTGCCGGGTGGTTTTAACTCTGGGTCACGAGGTGATGGGTGTGCACGGGGGTGGGTGGGGGGGAGGTGTTAGCCTAATTACCAAGTAACTATAAAAGGTGGTGGGGAGCACCGGATGTCAGCTCTGACAATTTATTCAATGCCTTAGTGCTTTGTTGGTCAGTTGGTGCCGGAGGAAGATAAACGGCATTTAACAACTGTGCCACCTCGGCTCTAGAAGACATGCATGCAGTTCTCTAAGGAATACATTTTTAAAAAAATGGAAGCAAAGAATTAGGCAGGTACTCAAGGAAGCTAAAACGGAGATCCAGGATTAAATTTTACTTCTGACTCATCTGCACTGGCTCTTTGTTACTATGAAAAACATGATTTTTGTAAGCCTATCCCTTAAAAAGAAAAGAGAAAAGGAAAAGAAAGAAAAGGAGAAAAAAGAAAAGGAAGAAAAAGAAAAGAGAGAAGAAGAGAGAAGAAAAGAAAAATTGGGGATAGAAACTAAAGCAACAGGAGAGAGAGGAGAAAAAATGAAATGATTCCAATTAAGTTGTCCACCACAGGCCGTTCTAGCAGAAACCACAACTTTGGTTTTCTTTCTTTTTCTGGCTTCACCTCTTCCGTCAACAGACTTTGCTTGTGGCTATGGGACCACATCGTTTGCGCAAGCTGAGTTTCCAACACAACTGACTTGCCAGCATTTTTGAGGCTATGATGCAACTTTAGCAAGAAAGCCACAGAAACCAGCTTGCAATCTGGAGGATAACTTCTCAGAGACACCCATGCTGCACGAGAGAGAACAGATATCTATCTATCTATCTATCTATCTATCTATCTATCTATCTATCTATCTATCTATCTATCTATCATCTATCTATCTATCTATCTATCTATCTATCTAT